AAGGGAGCCCCATGTAGAGAGCGTTACAATAGTCCAGGCGGGAGGTGACGAGAGCATGAGTGACTGTGTGCAAGGCGTCCCGGTCCAGAAAAGGTCGCAACTGGTGAATCAGGCGAACCTGATAAAACGCCCCCCTGGTCACGGCCGACAAATGGTCATCCAATGTCAGCCGTGAATCCAGGAGGACTCCCAAGTTGCGTGCCCTCTCTGAGGGGGCCAAAATTTCGCCCCCTATAGTCAGCGATGGAGTCAGCTGACTATGCCGAGGCGGCGGCAACCACAGCCACTCGGTCATCTTTACTAAATATTTAGTTGCTAGAACTATCTCTGATTCCTGAGTCCTTCTGATAGGGTGGGACCATCTGGTCCATCATCAATGACCAGAATGGCACTTCATAGTGAGTCTAATACCATTTCTAGTGTTGAAGGATGGAACTGACACAAGAAATGGGTATTGTATAGCAGGAAGGCAAATTCACCTATTTTCTAATGAACTTAGATGATTTGGCTCTTCCCCACATTTCAAATGCCTCTTACTATTGCATTTGGAAGTAGAACTGTTCATGTAGCTGCTCCCCCGAGGGTGGAAGTTGTGATGCCATATCTTGCTGGTTTGTGTATATGAAAGCAATGCATTCCCTGACCCACTAGCTGGTGATGGATATCTTCCTGGTTTTCTTGCTGTATTGGGGACAAATAATCCTTCATCCCTCTGGCTCTCAAAGTTATATCTCTGGTATTAATAACCTGCAGGCATTTAACTGGTGCCAGGTTCATTTTATCAGATGGGTAAGTCTGGAAGAAATTGGGAATCTCAGTCTCTTGGGCTCAATGGAATCTGACAGTGACCTTGGTCACAAAAAGGATCCAGGCGTAGCATCGCCTTGTTTTGATGGAATCTGCGTGGGTGCCTTCATACCGAGAAAGCCCCTAGTTGTCCAAGGATCCTAGTTGAGATTATAGCTACCAAAAAGGCTGTCTTGCAGGTGAAAGTGTTAATGAGGGTCTATCTGATCAGTTTGAAAGGAACAGTAGTTAGAGCTCTCAAAGCCAAAAAGTGCTTCTTACTTCAAGTTCCTAACTTCTACATTTCTATCTACAGAAAATCTCCGGTACCTATATCCTGTATGGAGGAGAATTCTCCACCAAACCCCAGGGCCAGCATGGTCAATAACTTTTTAGAAGACTGTTTGCAGAATGGTCAACAGGTAAGTAAAACATGAAGTGATGAACATTAATATTAAGCTTGCATTAGTTAAAGCAGGGCTTTCCAAAGAGTTTGCACAATTGTCAGTACCAGCTAGGTATGTGGGTGAATGCTCTCAATTTCATTGAGGCAACAATAAAGCCAGGAATGCTGACATGAGAATTAGATATACGTACATACCTATCACACTGTTTTCTTTCAAGCTAAGAAGTGCTAGGCAGAGTGCAGAAGGAAAGTAAACAGTAAGCAAAACCAATTAAAGGCAAAATATAAAAGTAAAGGAAATTTAAATCTAGATTTCCTCAACTTCTGCATAATTTTCTTCCCTTCCTCATTTTTACTTTGTCCATACACCTATTCTTTCTTTTTTTTGTTCTTTAATCATCTCATCTCCCTTGGAACTGTCATCAACTCATCCAATCACAACTTTTCAGTCTATTCTTTCTTCCTACATGTTTGCATTTCTTTCATTCTTTCCGTATAACCAATAAATAAATAAATTCAAAATACTTATTTCATACTGGTCATTCACTCTGGCATTCAGTTCGTATTCATTCATCGTGCACTCTTTCCTGACCATACTGTTAGCCACACAATTCTTAAATATCTCATTACCACAACCGTAGACAGCTTGCTTTTATCTTTTGCCTGACATAACCCACTCTTGCTTCCATATAACAATAGGAGAAACAAGCTCTTACACTAAGGCATTTTTCCATTTATTGCAACAAACATTAAATCCTCATAACAGACAGAATACTGTCCGTTATCTTTCTATCAGCATTTGTACATCTTAAAATGTCTCTTCATTTTTTTTCATCTTTACTAAATATTTTGTAAAAATATACAGGTTAATCTGTTTGTTCCAGTTGTTTACCGTTAGCATATAACCTGCAATCATTTGTGCTGTTTCCCTCAACTACCTTGATCTACCTTTAATTCCAGAAAAGCTCATATTCTGGAGGGAATCATGGTACCATACTTCTGTTTCAAGTGCCAATGTTGTCCAAATGCCCAGGGCTAAAAGAGAATGTCTTGGTTAGACATCTTAACTTCTAGGCTTCAAATATCTGATTGAATATAATATTTCTATCTTAGGACAGAGCAAAGGCTAAAGAAGAGATTTCCTACAGAGACTGCAGAATGTTCTTTATAGGTAATAGGAAGTAAACCTAAGAGGAAAATTCACTTTGATATCCCAATCCAAAACTCTCATTTGGGAAAGATAACTTTTTCAGGTTTGTTTTGATAGGCAGAGTCTTTCTTTATTTGATTCCAGGAGAGTACATTTTCGGGTGGAAATCATCATGGTCCTGTAGAAGCTTTGAAACTCATGCTGTTTAACCTTCAAGCAGTTCAGCATAGCTTTCACAAAAACAAATCCGACAGACCAAATGAAGAGTCCTCAAAAGTAAGCAGCTCTGTGTAAAATGAGATTCTCCATGGTGCTTAATTATTGTATGCTTATCTGCATCTGGCTCTGCGCTATTAGTTCCTGACTGCAGGTCTGAGTTCCTAGATTTATTCTTGGGTGGTGAGGCTTTGACATTTTCTCCCAAAGGTGACAGACAGATCAATGGATGGATGGATGTGTCCAAGCACCCATGCAGGAAACACATCCACGCGTGCTTCTGTCTTTCACTATACAGTACAGTTCTGTGGAGAAAAAAAATCACTTTCTTTTAGCTTCTTTGAATATTTTGCATATCTTTGCCAATGAGTGTTTTCAGTTTCCTGAAAATTATTGGAACTAGAGTGCAATAGTTACCTGATAGTTTGGTGCTCTTTTTTCATTCTATCACCTGATGTAGCTCTACAGCTCTGCCTTTTAGAAGATAAAAGCATCTCCTTTAAGGTCCATTTTGAGACAATAACAGCATCATATTGCACTCCCACCTACCCCACACACATAAAAGAGTGACAGAAAAGGGAAAAGAAAGAAGGCAAAAGATGAAACAAGATCAAATAAAGAGCAAGCAAGTATGCTAATGCAATACATGGTAGGCAAAGAGTGGGTGGAAAAATATATACGACCCAAGAGGGAGATCAAAATAAGGATCCATGGGAGGGCCTTTTTTGGGTGATGGAAACATGTGAAACCAGCTGGAAAACATGAGATCCAGAGCCCCAAGTGATGCTATGCCAGGAGATTCCTTATCCATTTTCACCATCCTTTTCCTCCTCATGGAAGAACCAAAGAGAGGAGGTCTACAAGTGTCAGGGAAAAAAAGCAGGAATCTGGGCGTAACATAACCATGTAGGGCAGGGATGTCAAACTCGCCACGTCACATGACGTGTCGCAATGTATCGCAACGTTTTTCCCATTGGAGCTGGAGTGGGCGTGGTTTCGGCATGACGCATCAGTTTCAATTTGACACCCCAGATGTAGGGGATGAGCTACCCAGCCATCTTTTTTTCCTCAACCTGCTTTCAGCCTTGAGGACCGTAGTTAGGCCAGGCAGCACTAACAACGATGGGCTTCCATTTCAAACCCAGAAAACTGGATGGGCCAGCAGTCCTTGGGTATGAAAAGAGGGGGCAGGCAATAACAACTTGTCCCTCATCCTCCTCTAAGCTCCAGGAGATATAAAAGTCTCCCTGTCTTATGTGGCAGCATCTGTGAGTAATATTCCATCCGAGTTAAGGCAAATCTTGGCAAAGTGATTAGTCTTCAGGATTCCTCCTCACAGTTCGGAAGGAACCAGATAATGAAAATGGAGAAATAATGTGGTAGGTATGACAAGCATAGGGGAAAGGACCTCAGGAGATGAGAAAAGATGCTACAAGGGGACCTCTCACCCCATTTTCTTAGCCTCCCGAGTTCTGACTCTCTCACTGTTTAAGACAATGGTTAAACTCATCTCTGTTCCCAAACTTTTAATTGTTAGGAGTGCTTGATTGAATGTTCATTTTATATGTATTCATTGACTTTTGTTTTATTATTGTAAGCTACCTTGAGAATAGAAATAAACAGAAATGCAGGGATGCACCGAATAATCAAAACAAAGAAAAATAACATACATGTTTGATCAATTTAGTTAATGAGATAATTATGGCCATTGAACAATTAGATATGATTTGAACCAACCCTGCCCTGTAATCAAAACAAACTTCAACTGTTTTCTCACATCTCTGTAAAGTTCTCACTGTAATTAAAGAGGCAGGTCATGCCTGGCTCACAGACAATTACGAACACTTCTTCGGTTTAACAACAACAACAATAAAAACCCCAAGGCCTGTTATACAGAAGAAAGTTAGAGAAATGGGACTTGTAGGGTTCTGTGGGTATTATGCCAGTTATATGGGTGTTATGCCAGAAGGAAACCAAACCCTACATTCCCCAATACAGATAGTCCTCGACTTACAACCATAATTGACTCCCAAATTTCTGTGGCTAAGCAAGACAATTGTTAAATGAGTTTTGCCCCATTTTATGACCTTACTTGCTACAGTTGTTAAGTGAATCACTGCAGTTGTTAGTAACCCAAATGCTAAGTGAATCTGGATTCCCCATTGACTTTTGTTTGTCAGAAGGTCGCAAAAGGTGATCATAAGGTGATCACATGGACAATGCAACCGTCATAAGTACATGCCAGTTGCCAAGCATCTGAATTTTGATCACGCGATGATGGGGATGCTGCAATGGTTGTGTGACAAGCGGTCATAAGTCATTTTTTTCAGTGTCATTGTAACTTCAAACAGTCACTAAACAAATTGTTATAAGTTGAGGACTACCTGTACAGGTAGTCTTCGCCTTACGACTGGTCGCTTAGTAACTGTTCAAAGTTACAACAGACTTAACCCAGATCTGAAATTCCAACAACTGTCCCCAACCTACCAGGTTGCCACAAGGAAGAGGGAGTCAAGCTATTCTCCAAAGCGCCTGAAGGCAGGACAAGAAGCAACGGATGGAAACTAACCAAAGAGAGAAGCAACCTAGAAGTAAGGAGAAATTTTTGGACAGTTAGAACAATTAATCAGTGGAACAACCTGCCTCCAGAAGCTGTGAATGCTCCAACACTGGAAGTTTTTAAGAAGAGACTGGACAACCATTTGTCTGAAATGGTATAGGCTTTCCTGCCTGAGCAGGGAGTTGGACTAAATGACCTCCAAGGTCCCTTCCAACTTTATTATGGATGATCGCACAATCAGCCAGATGTTCAGATTGGATTTGGCATTTTGTCTACCTATCGAGTCCTTACCAAGGACCTGGGATAGGCAGATGTGGATGTTTGATGGTATATTACAGATATCGTTTATTATTATCATCATGATCATCATCATCATCATCATCAATCCTTCAATCATGCGGCTGCATCTCAGATGCTCAGTAACCAGGACACATTTACAGCCATTTGCAGCATTGCAACATTTTTGCCCCAACCCTACATTTACTTCCAGTTTTCAGCAAACCTGGCCCATAGCGAACAGTTGATTCCCTTAACAACCAATGTGAAACAGGCCAGGTAGGGCATGCGGCTGACCCACTTTAAGCCCATCACAACTTACAACTATAATGGGCATGTTCCATTGCGGTCGTAAGTCAGAGACTACCTTTAAGAGTCTCATAACCAGCTGTCAAGCATGGTAGAAGTATTTGCATCCTTTGGGGGTGTTTCCCTCTGGAGGACCTGCGCAATAGATCATCATTGAAGAAAGCAGGACCTCAGCCTACTAGGCTATGATAAAGGGGACCATCAAGCCATCTGGTTCACCACTGACACTGGCTCAGGCAGACAGCGTTCCCAAACACAGAAACACTGTGTTTCACAATGCCTAAGTCAGACAAGTGTTGTGGCAGGCTTTGAAAATGAGCTGTTCGTGCTAAAAAACCCTCAAAGGTTACTGAGCTGAAGGAGTTTTCCAGACAAAATGATGTGAAAAACTGATCGTCAGTTACAGGGAATATTAACAGCTAAAAGATTGGGCAACCGATGATTAAATCTAGATTAGGTGTTCACACAGGCATGTTGCAGTTTGGGAAGCTTTCTTTAGGAAATAATTGAAACAGGCACCGTCCTTTACTGTTACTTATTTGCTTAGACTTCCTTGTATCTTCTCATCCATCAGGATTTAAATGAATCTTTGATAACATTCAGTGCCAAAGACACCTTTCAGAAATCCGAAAGGAGGCAAATACTTTTTCATGGGATTCATGGCTCCAAATTTGAGTAAGCTAAACAATGAAGTCATCCGTATTTGTCAATACATTGGAAAGTCAAATGGCTTTTTAAACTTGACTTTGGATTTTCCCTATAGGAGAAATAATAATTTTTAAAAAGCCCAATGTTGGATTATGCTATTGAGCAAAGTTTCCTCCTTTTTTTTTTTTAGGTTTCAAGTAAAGATGAAGACTTCAAGTTGGGCGATTGTGATATGATCCCTGTGGCTCGATCTCTTCAGAGGTAAGAAGTGCTGACATTCAGAGGCTGAGATTCCCAACTGCCTTGGTTGCAGTTGATGCTTGGAAGCAATCTTCTCCCAGTGCCATAATCTAGGACAAGGGTCTTCAAACTTGGCAACTTTAAGACTTGTGAACTTCAACTCCCAGAATTCTTCAGCCAACCAGGGCTGGCTAAGGAATTCTGGGAGTTGAAGTCCACAAGTCTTAAAGTTGCCACGTTTGAAGACCCCTGACCTGGAGTTTTAGGTTTCATGCCAGTAGCCCAACCTAAGGTGACCTCATGTGCATTATTTCCATTTTCTTTCCTTTTCAACTCTTTTTACCTACAAAATGCCGTTGAAGCTGGCATTTTCACTGAGAACACCCTGGTTCAGTGACCCACATGACAGTATCTGACTACCATGACTCATGAGCCCCCCTTCCCAGGATGGTGCTGACAAGTTCTCAAACCTCAGTATAAATTAATTTTAAAAAATCAAAAAGTGATAGAAGTTTGGCAAGATCAAATAAAAATGAGATGTCACCAGATCACCAAGTCTCATAAGAATACAGTGTTCTTGTTAATACACTGTGGAAAGAAGTCTGATGTAATGAACTCTTATGTCCAAAAAGGCTTTGGCCTACAGTTAATCCTCAATTTACAACCAGAATTGGGACCAGAATTTCTGTTGCTAAGCAAGGCAGTTGTTAAGCTTGAATTGCACCCGGTTATACAAATCTTTTCTCCATAGTTGTTAAGTGAATCCCTGAAGTTGTTAAAGGAATCACATGGTCATTAAGCAAACCCGACTTTTCCCGTTGACTTTGCTTTTCGGAAGCTGCTGGCAAGGTTACAAATGGTAATCACAGGATGCTGCAACCATTATAAAAATGCCAGCTGCCAAGCATCCCAGTTTTGATCATGTGACCATGGGGATGCTGCAACGGTCTTAACTGCTAGGACCAGTTGTAAGTCAGTTTTTCAGTGTCACTGTAACTTCAGTGCCAATAAACAGTCACTAGATCAGGCATCTTCAAACTTGGCTCTTTTATGACTTGTGGACTTCAACTCCCAGAATTCCTCAGCCAGCGTGCCTGGCTGAGGAATTCTGTGAGTTGAAGTCCACAAGTCATAAAAGGGCCAAGTTTGAGGACCCCTGCACTAGATGAATGCTTGTAAGTTGGGGATTGTTTGTACTTTGTAATGGGTCCTATTAAAATGGCGAGATTTTTTTTTTTAAACAATCACTGGGCTCTCCTAAATTACATAACAAACCAATGTGTAATTATTTATTATGTTATTTTTAAAGCTGGATTGGATGGGGAGGAAGTTGTGAATTTATTCTGTTTGTTAAATCTTAAATTGGATTTCTTAGCCCTCCGATGAGGCACTTAAAATTTCCCTTTAGTTATCCAAATTGGCCATGATGGGAAGCATGTTACTGAACTAAAGGACGCCTAGAAGCAAATTCTTTGATGCTTGATGAAAATTAATCTTTGGGGCCCTTTTTGTTGTAACCTATGCATATGGTACTCTCCTGTCATTTCATCATCATCGTTGTTTCCTTTCGCGCAAAGCGCTTAGAGCAGCAAGATTCTTCCAGTGAATCCTCTGCGGCAGCATACTCTAAAAATATGCATGTGGAGAGAGAGAGACTTAAAAAATGCAATTATGGTTTTTTTTTCATTCCACGGTGTGTCTGAGTAAGAGCAATCATCCTTCAACTTGAACAAAAATGCCCCAAAGCCACATTAAATGATGCTTTTAGAGATACATAATCTGCATTACGAGGAACATGTAGTAGCATTGACTTGGTCTGTTAGGAGCTGAATTCTTGGAATTCAGTAGTCTGGTTCACACCTAATAATGGGTAACAAAGTTTTGTTTCAGGATCAGCATAATGTATGATACCCCCTTTATTGTTTGAACTAGGATTTGGTAGATTGCGCAATAAATCATGAATTCCTAGCTTGACCAATTGTGTGAATACTATCGTCGTGGGATTAGTCTCTCTATTAGCTTTATATTTTTGTATATTTACATTGCAAGCAAAATATATATTTTTTTCTCATAGAGCTTTGCATCATTTATCTCGACTTAAAGGATTGGTTGATGATACAAATGGTAGAGAAGAATCAACAGGATCGCTCAAGACATGAAGTGTTGATCATAAATATGTCTACAAAATCAATATAATGTAAAACAACAGTTAAATGCAGGGGCACGTTCTAAGATGCTCATGAACTTCAGAACTCTGTTTTTTTTTTCCAAATCTTGTATTTCTGTAAATATAAATGTATTAACTAGAGTCTTCAGAAGCATGTTATCTTTTGCAGAACTTTGCCATATTCTAAAGAAATTGGTGAATTATAGAAAAGGGTTGCCCTACTTTTTATTCCTTAATAGCTGTGTCCATCCTAGCTGGGTAGAAATAGTGTGAGCAGGACAGGCACCTGCTAAAGAAAAAAGCAAGTCTTT